ATCGGTAAATATACTTAATTCCCCTTCTCTGATTTTAGTTGCGCATGCATTTTGTATTGAAAACTGAAAAATGCATTGACAATGGGTTATTTATGCACACCACAGTCAGTCAGCTGATTGGCCAGTACCACCTTTTCGACTTGTGTCTCTCGAGCCTTCTTCAGAGTGGTCCTGGTTGGTTTCTACAGTTGGTTCTTTGGTCTCCGGCTGTTGCGGCGTCTGGAGTCGGGGATGTTTCTTTGACCCCTTCTCCTGGATAAGTGGTTTTGGGGTTACGGGCTTGATAATGCTTGTTCAATCCGTTTAAAGTTTACATCCTTTGTCCCAGACGACATTTTCCCAGGATTAGATAATTAGGGCTTTTTTGATTCGTCTGTTCAGTCAGTTCCTTTCTTTAACGATGCTCCGCAGTTTAGCCATTGACGGACTTAACCTTTTTCGTTTGCGTTGCGTATAAATGAATTGTTTTTGTGCATTTTTCAGATTTTAAGATGAATACTGACACCGTAACAAATAATTTAATCTTCGGATAAATTTTGCATTTCGGGATTTCTTCATTTTGAAATGGATTATACTACCGCTTTACGTGTATTGCAGAGTAATGTGATTATTTATCTTAGGAAATTTCAATTTCAAAACTTTCAGTTTCCAGCCTTAAGGATTTTCCTTTTCTGAAATCGTTAGAATGCACATCCTTATCATAGTGCGCAGCTGCAGGTTCACGTGTATGAATGTGATTTTAGTTTTTAAAGCTAGAGTTCTTGATATTGTTTATTCTTCGTCATCTGAGGCTGGAAAAGGAAAAAAAGAGGAAGCAGGAATATCCCTTTTCCTTGCACTTACATGATGGTATCATTTTTTAGCATTCTTGTTTTGACCAAATTAATGGTGGAAGTGCTCTTCTCCATTATCATGTCATTAGCCAGGGGTTCCCTTTGTGTCAGAGGCAAAATTGACAGCGGCTATATGACATATAGTCTGTATTCTCCCGTTTATTTTCTACTCATTTACCAGCGTGGTAATTGTTTATCAACCTTTTAAAGAAGAAAGGAAGTGACCCAGACCGAGATTCAAACCAAAGACACATAGGTTCTGAGTCCCGCTCTCTGCGAACCGAGTAACTTCGGTCTGAAGCCGCTTATGGTAAATTCTTTCTCAGTAGATTTCGTGGTAAGTACAGAGATTGTCCGCCGCAGAAATCAAATTTGGCACCTCCGGACTTAAATTTTGAGGCCGACCTCTTACGCCCTGTGTCTACATGAGGCTAACAGAGCGTAAGCAATAGCATAGCATAGATTTGTGATGTCTGGCCGGCGGTTGAACCGCCCTCGCTCAGACGCTATGAACATTACGCTGCGCAGCGTCTCTCTGCTACGAACTGTGGAACATTCAGTGGATTAACTCCGTGTAAATTATGGTGCACATTGTTCAGAGCCTGCCTAGGCAGTTAGTTGGCATGTGCAAATCAGTTTGCATTGTTGTAGTCATCATCATCTGGGGTATCAATTTTATTAATGGGTCTATAATGAATGTTCTGTACGGCGTCACTGTATGCAGTGCAAAATTGTCGATTTATTATGTGATAAACCACGGTCGATGTTTTGATCTGCATCCCGTAAATCTTTGAATCTTGTTCCAAAATTCTTAGTGGCTAAAATTAGAATTCCTAATTACTATGCCTGGTATAAGGGTATTTGAATTTGCGAAAATCTTGTACATAAGCTGCTGCAGAGGAAGGTGGCTCTAACCCGCGTATGAACTGGTGCAGTACACTGCATGGCATAAACATTTTTGAATTTCTACTGACTTTGTGATTGTACGAAAACGGTTAAAATCAGTTATATTTCCGTAATTAATATGAA